CTGTGAAAACTGTTGAACCATATGAGCAGTTTGTTGGTTCTCTGAGATCTGTGGCAACACCCTTTGCTTTGATTCTTAATGACTAATCTTTGTGATATCAAAGGCCTATCAGTAAATGCCAGGGGACTAAACAAATCACTAAAACGTCGCGCCGTGTTTAGGTGGCTGCTTCATCAGAACAGCTCCTTTATCTTCTTGCAAGAAACTTACAGTCCAAAAGAATGTGAAAATGCCTGGCAAGCAGAATGGGGAGGTGAAATTGTCTTTAATCACAGTTCAAATCATAGCAAAGGGACCGTGATTTCATCCAAAATTAAATTTCAAGATTGAAAAACAAATTACCGACAAAAACGGTAGATACATAAGTTTAGACAGGATGTTTTCAGATACATGACTTCTACTTGTAAACATTTGTGCACCAAATGATGTCCATCTACAAGACTTCTTTTTTAAAGAATTACAACATCAACTTAAAGACTATGCAGAAGAAACAATAATCATAGGTGGGGACTTTAATTGTACGTTGACTGACAGATAACAAGGGCGGCAATACTTTCTCCCAGAAAATACCAGTAATCCAAGAAATTAATAAATTATGCAATATGTATGAGCTAACTAACATCTGGAGGCAACGAAACCCAAACAAAGAGAAGTTTACATGGCAAAATCAGTCTTTTAAAATACAATGTTGTCTTGATTATTTTCTAATTTCTAGACAGCTAATGAACCTGACCAACAAATGCACCATCACTTTCGCTCCTGAAACGGACCACTCTGCTATTTCTATTCACTTTAAAAGCGAAGAACTCAAACAAAAAAAGGTCCAGGTTTTTGGAAATTTAATCACTCACTCCTTCATGACGAAAATTGCGTGTCATCGTTGCGTGTACAACTCGAAAACTTCAAGCAACAGTACATTGATATTGAAGATTTAAATCTGAGATGGGATCTGATTAAAATGGAGATTAGAGGTTTTACCGTGAAATATTCCAAAAACAAGATCAAGATGCATCACTCAAGGACTGCATTCTGTCTGGGCCGGCACTCCAGCCTAATCTTGTATCAGTTCTGCTTAGATTCTGAAAGCCTAAAATTGCACTAATGGCAAATGTGGAGAAGATGTTTCTCCAGATCAAGGTTGATAAGAAAGACCAGGAAGTCCTGCATTATGTTTGGAAGGATCTTAAGAGTGATGACGCACCAAGAATTTATCGATTGCAGAGGTTTGCATTTAGCATTAATTGTAGTCTGTTTCTAGCTATTGCTACAGTTCAACACCACGCTAGGGAATGTAAGGAAGAGTTCCCTGCCGCATCCATGGAAGTCCTGTGCAACATGTACGTGGATGATTGCCTTACTGGAGATGACAGTGTTGAAGCATCAGTTGAATTACAGAAGTCTTTAGACAAAATGATGAAGCATGGTGGATTTAACCTGACAAAGTGGGCCAGTAGCTCTGAGGAAGTCCTCAGCCACATTGCCAAACAAGATCAGGCACAATCGAATACCACTGATTTCAGCGAGAGTGAACCTCTTAAGGCACTGTGCATTTGCTGGAATACGATAACTGACTCTTTTCTGTTGAACATTCTACAAAGTGTACTCAAGATGAATGACCCTGAAATGAAGAGAAGTCTTTTGAGTATTGCGTCGAGGATATTTGACCCCAGGGACTACTCACCCCGTTCACAGTTATAGCTAAGATCTTGTTTCAAGATCTTTGGCAGAGAGGGCTGAGTGGGAGGATCGGCTTGATGAAGAGGTTGCTGCTCAGTGGTGATCCTGGAAATCGGAACTCCCTTGTCTAAGTCACATAACTATTCCTCGCCACTTCATGGCAAATGGAAGATCAATCATTGAACTTCACGGGTTTGGTGACACTTCGCCAAAAGCTTATGGTGCAGCCATTTACATCCGATCTATGGATGCTGCTGGCAAGGTTTCAACCCACCTAGTTATGTCCAAATCAAGAGTTGCACCTACAAAAACTGTCTCGCTTCCAGGATTAGAGTTGCTTGCAGCTGTTATTAACTCATGGCTACTGAAGTTCCTTGCAGCATCTTTGTGTCTCAAACTAGACCGGGTGGTGTGCTGGACTGCCAGCATGGTAACCCCACAGTGGATCAGGGGATCAAGTTCCCAGTGGAAGACATTTGTGGCGAATCGTGTCGCTGAAATTCAGTCCACCTGGGATCCTCAACACTGGAAACATTGTCCTGAAGAGGACAATCCGGCTGATCTGATTACCCGCGGATTGTTATTAAAGGTCTTAGCTGAAAACAGCCTATGGTGGAATGGGCCAAAGTGGTTGGCTTCAAACTGTTGGCCAACTGAAAGGCAGGGAAATGCAGAGTCTTCTGAGATTGTTGAAAGGGAGAGGAAGCCGAAACAGGTGACAAAGCATACATGTGCTGGGCTTGCCAAGGAACCAATAACTGATGCCTGTCGACACGAGAAATGGTTGACCCTTATTAGAGTAACCGCATACGTGCTGCGATGGGTTTGAGTCTTCAAATCTGGAGAAAGCTCAGCATCAAAGGAACTGTCAGCTGAAGAGCTGAAAAATGCCAAGCTGAACTGTTATCATCAAGTTCAAAGAGAAGTGTACCGAATCGAGTATGCACAGCTGGAGGCAGGCCAACCATTACCCAAAACCAGTACTATCTTGAAGTTGAATCGTTACTTTGACAAGGAAGATCGGGTGTTACGAGTAGGAGCAAGGCTGCAATATTCCAATCTTCCAGAGGCGACTAAACATCCAATCATCCTGCCACATGGCCATCCAGTTGTCGAGAAAATTATCCAGAGTGTTCACAATGAATTACTTCATGCCGTGCCGTGATCTGTCAACCAACGCATTCTTCCAGGCTTTCAACCGTATGATCAGTTGGAGGGGACTTTGTAGTACCATTTGGTCAGAGAATGCCAGGACCTTTAAGTGTGCAGATCACCAGATTCGAAAGCTTTACAAGTCACAATCATCTGACAGTGATCAACCCTGGAATGACAGAGATCAAGATGAGCTCCAAGCTAAATTGGCGTGGTGGCTGGTGGGAAAGATTGATATGGAATGTGAAGGAGCCTCTTCTAAAGGTCTTAGGGAAAGCTTTGTTGTCCTATGCAGAGTTAACAACAGTCCTTACCAGAATCGAAGCTGTCATTAACACCCGACCCCTCACAACAGCAAGTGATGATGTCAGGGATCCTACACCCATAATGCCCGCTCATCTTGCTCTTGGAAGATCACTGTTTGACCTTTCTGACCTTAAAGAGGTCCCTGTTAATGAAGACACAACAAGGCAACGTTACCTGTACCAACAGAGGCTCGTTAATCACTTCTGGAAACGATGGCGAGGAGAGTGTCTACATCAGCTATCCATTCAACCTAAATGGAACGAAGAGCAACCAGCCCTTAGTGTTGGAGATGTAGTCCTGATCTCCGAGGACAACGTATCAAGGGGAAAGTGGCAAATGGGACGAGTTGAGACATTGTTTCCTGGAAAGGATGGCCTTGTATGCACTGTTGAATTGAAGACACAGAAAGGAAACCTATGCAGAGCCATTCAAAGGCTACATCAACTGAAAGTGAGTAATCATTCCCTTAGCACAGAATGTTA